CCAACCCCCGAGTGAACTCTGACCTCTCCTCGCGCGCTCCATTTCCGCCTCCTCCGGACCCGCAGCTCCAGTGGCCGGAACCACCAGCACAGCTGCGGGGAGGTGCCGCGGGAGAGTGTTCAACTCTGGCCCCCGGGGAACGTCACTCACCGCTAACAGACTCGAGTGAAACAAAACAAAAAAAAACACTCGAAAATCAGAACAAGTGAACCGAGCTCCAGTTCACCGAAACATTTCAAACAGTCGACTACACATCCATCCCCTCCCCCCACTTCCGGATACGTGCAGCAATAGTTTCCTCCAATGTTGATTGGTGGAGAACGTGGTTAGAAGACGATTGTCGATTGGTTGCTCGCCAGTTGCAAATAGAAGTTTTGTGATTGGCTGATGGTAGATGCCCATCCTGCAGTAACTGGGAGCTGCCTAGAGGGGGCGATGATATGGAGGTGCTGGTGTTGAATTGGACAAGGTCAGAAATCACCAGGCACCAGGTTATAGTCCAACAGGTTTATTTGAAATCACAAGCTCTTAGAGCACTGCTCCTTTGCCACGTGAAGTGGACAGAAGCGCATTTATAAGCAGAAAGACCATTGCAAGAAATTTCAAGGTAATTAAGAGTGTCAAATAATTGTACAAATGGTGTGATCGGCTGCATAGAAAGTTCTTGCAGGTGATCAAAAGTGTCAAACGGTGCTAGTAAAGTGTCAATAGCTGAATAGCAAGTGAAGGGATGACCTACAATCGGCTTAATTAATGCAGATAGACTATTACAAAAAAATAAAAAAAACAAGGTCGTGCTGGAGACAAACCGAATGGCTGGAATAACATGATAGGTGTAAGAGTCACATGACAATAGTCTTACCAAAAATAATAAGTAATCCAAAACTGTACAAACTAATTAAGGAAGAGAGGCCATAACAATTTATCAAGACAATGTTGTAAAAACAGAACAGTAAGGAAGATTTTACAAACACATAACTGTGTGGTGGGATCACAAGTAACATGACACGAACCCAAGATCACGGTGGGGGCTTCTTTGTGGGTATGCAACTTAGTTGTTTCTGCTCGGCAGTTCTGCATTTTTATGTATCCCGCAGGCTGCCTCGGAAGACGCTTACCTGAAGATTGGAGGCTGAATGTCCTTGACCGCTGAAGTGTTCCCCAACTGGAAGGGAACATTCCTGTCTAGCGTTTGTTGTGTGGTATCCATTCATCCATTACTATAGCGTCTGCATGGACAAGCCAATATGCCATGCCTTTGGGCATCCCTTCCTGCAGCATATGAGGTAGACAACATTGGCTGAGTCACATGAGTACCTACCATATATGTGGTGGGAGGTGATCCTGCATATGATGGTAGTATCCATGTCAATGATCTGGCATGTCTTGCAGAGGTTGCTGTGGCAGTGTTGTGTGGTCTTGTGGTCACTGTTCTCCTGAAGGCTGGGTAGTTTGCTGCAAATGATGGTCTGTTTGAGGTTTGGCGGTTTGAAGGCAAGAAGTGGAGGCATAGCGATGGCCCTGGCAAGATGTTCATCGTCATTGATGACATGTTGAAGACTGCAAAGAATGTGGCATAGTTTCTTTGCCTGGGGAAGTACTGGACCACAAAAGTTACTCTATCAGTTATGTCTCATGTCTGTCTTCTGAGGAGGTCGTTATGGTTTTTCGCTGTGGCACGTCGGAACTTGAAGTGACTACTCTTCTGTCTTTCTTTCAAAGGCACAGGCCCAGTCTGGTAAATCTGTGGACCTGAGTTCGGATCACAGCATGTTTGAGGATTTGAAATTTGGATATAAACAACTGGAATTAGATAAAGTACCACAAGGCTGGTCATATTGTCCTTCAAGGAAGGAAATCTGGCATCCTCAACCAGACTGGCCCATGTAACTGGGTTGATGCTCAATCATCCTCGGAATTGGCCCAGCGCAACCAACTCAGCCAGGGCTGCTCATGTTGGGTAATAAATTCCTGCCTCTCCCCACAACAGCTACAACAATTTATCCTTAGACTTGATCACTGCCCTGACTACAGGTGCCAATTGTCCAGGTTTCACCTAAAGTTTGCAGGATTTCAAGATTCAACTCCAGAACATGGCTGTCAGGAACAAAGGGAAGAAAAACCACAGGAGGAATAAAAAATTAAACCATGCCTATCAAAATTTGCTTTGAATTCTTCCACTAATTAGTTGCAAAAAACCCTGTCTGTGTGGAAATAAAGGCAGACAGGGTGAGGTATCATTCAGTGAAACCTACAGGAATGTATGCAATCAGAGGTGGCAACTCAATACTCAGGCACTAACCATTTAGAACTGGCAGTCAAATGATTTTTTTCTGGCACATGGGCATTGAAGTAACTCCGCAGAGGCTGGTATCCCATCAACAATTCACCCTTTATTTCCACGTGGTAAATGCTAGGTTAACAGCCCAAATCAAGTAACTCATATTCTATGAGGTCCACCTGGCTGACTGCATTACAATCACTACATCCATCCCCATCTAAGACCTGAGACAGAGACCTGTTCTTTTTCTTTTGGCCTCTCCTAGGACATTTTCGCACTGGGTCCGGTTCCTCCGACTCAACCTCAGATACGGACAGTGTGTACTGGAATGTAGCCTGTCTCTTGTGCCCGGACCATCTTAGAAGAAATTTTTTTTTCTATTCATTTGTGGGATGTGGGCATTGCTGGCTGGCCAGCATTCCTTGCCCCTCCCTAGTTGCCCTTGAGAAGGTGGTGTTGAGCTGCCTTCTTGAATTGCAGCAGTCCACCTACTGTGGGTTGACCCCATAATGCCATTAGAGAGGGAATTCCAGGATTTTGACCCAGCAGCAGTGAAGGAATGGTGGTTATATTTCCAAGTCAGGATGGTGAGTGGTTTAGAGGGGAACTTGAAGGTGGTGGTGTTCCTATATATCTGCTGCTCTTATCCTTCCAGATGGAAGTGGTCATGTGTTTGGAAGGTGCTGTCTGAGGATCTTTGGTGAATTTCTGCAGTGCATCTTGTAGATAGTACATACTGCTGCTACTGAGCGTCAAAGGTGGAGGGAATGGATGCTTCCTGTTCTTCAGGCAGTAGGGTGTTGACGCTGTGACATCTGCTGCATCCATCTCAGACTCTGAGGTTTCTTTGATGCTAGGCAGAGGGAGAGAAGCTCTGGGCTTTTATTTTAGCCTTTTCGGCTATTCTGAGGGGCCGGACACGGTTTGCTCCTGCCCTGTTTGCGAGGTTGCAGCTTTCATGTTGTCCTTGCGCTTGCTGAGGACTGCCTCACCTATCCAAACTTTGTGAGTCAGAGGACCTGACCTTGCATTGACCATGCCTCTGAGCCACGCAAGGCCATTTCTGTGGTTTCGTCACCAAAGTTTGTCCCCTGATGTAATCTGTCTCTGTCACTTCAAGTACTCTTGTGTCCAGCACTGGAGTTCCTGATACCGTTTCACCACCCTGTACCCCGCCAAGTCTGGGAAGTTCAGATTTAATCTGGTGCAGAGTCTTCTTCCCATTAACAACTGCCGGAGCTATCCCTGTAGTTGCACAAGGGGTGACTGACAGTCAAATTGGAACCGGGACAGCTTAGAATTGAGTGAAGCTGTAGGCTGTTCCTTTAAGCTTTT